GCTGCGGCAGTAAACTGCCTCAAAGGGGCTCAACTCACACTTCTAAGAGAATGATTGGCGAGCAACTTCTCCATTGTGTACTACGTGCACTCCATGTTTTAAAGGGGTACTCCAGCATTTTCTTCATTGTCCCCGATTTGCCTAAAAACTTGCTAAACACATCAACAAACATCGCTGAAATAGTAACCGAAATATCTGGCCGAAATAGCTTTTTTTCGCAAAGTTACAGAATTTACAATTTTGGTCATCATTGTGCTTTTCAAAGTGAAAAGCTCTACTGGCAACATTGAAATTGAGACGTCATGCGAAGGCAAAGGTTCACTCTTATGGCTGTAGACTTTGTTCACAACTGATCACAAACAGTTTCATGGTGTCAAAAGAATGCTTTGGAAGGTCGCCCCAAATCCCACCCAGCAGCACGAAACAAATGCTGGGCATAGTTCTTTTCTACACAGCCGCTCGAACCGTGAGACTGTCCCATCCCGTGACGCAAGCATGTAACTAGAGGGGGTTCATGAAGCCCAGCCCGACCCGCCCCGCCGCTGCCGCCCCCAAAACAAAATTCTGACTATGTGCCTGCTTGACGTCACGGCAATGAAACGCACAAGTATATTTCAATCTTGGATTGGCATCATACACGACAGTGGTAGGAACATTACTTGTGTCGAGGTAGAGAAGCCATATTGGGAGCTACCCCAGCTACGTCCACACTGGATTTCATGGCAGTTATGTGCGATGCAGACAGCTTTCACTATTTCAACCGAGTGCCTAGGCAAACACAAAAGCAGCCACATAAGACAATCAGGAAAAGACGCCGAGTAGTACAGGCTAAGGAGGAAGGACATAGTGCAGCGAGCTATCTAGTCCAGGCTATTCCTCTGAGAAATGCTGTCGGTGGAAATGTAGGTCAGTTATTCCCGCCATTAATTTAGGTAACTAATGCAAGCATTACGCTATTTTGCATCTTTCTCTACTGCAACGCTAGTCATCCGCAGCAGAAACAACGCCCCAAACTAAAAAGAAGTCTCGTTGCATTGTTAACACAGACATCAAGTCCATAAGCGACCTGGAGTTCATCAAAGCACAACCGAGACTCTCTCGGAAGTACTTGGTTCCTTTTCAGTAGTTATTGAATGAAAACACAGTGCAGTGGTGATTACCCTCAGCACAGCCTTGCCACTGGCACTGCTGTCCCTCGGGTGGCACATGCACGACATGGCCTGCAAGCCACATATATCCCTAAAAGAAAGCTGCATAGGATGCACTTACCGTGGCTAGCGTCGCCACCCAGCGAGCTTGCACAAACCCTCTGCACGGCACGCAGTGCTGTTCAGAACAGAGCGGCACTGGCTAGCCAGTTAATGCGAAGGCTTGTAGTGTTTTGCTGCTGCCTTGGCAAAGCTGCAAGTCACCTCTTTCACGCCTTGTGGTGCCCATCAGCTTCAAAAGAAACGGTGTTGAATCGCAACCAGCTATAACCTGTCGTACAAGGGGGAAAAGGGTGTGAATGTGCAGACTCCTATCTGTTTGCTTTTGTCTAGCGCCTGAATTTTGTTTGAGAAGAAAACAACAATGACACTTCTTTCACAGTAATATGCAAAACAAAAACGAGAACGGCTCGGTTATTAATAAGTTGTGTGCAGCAGAGGCACGGGTGCGAGTGCGTAGCTCCGCAGAATGTTCTTTTTGCACGGCTGCTCGTGCAAAAAGGGCGCTTTTGTGCTCGGGCCTGTGCCTTTTCTGCACACAGCCTATGTTACAGAGTGTATAGCACGCCTTCGAGAGCACTCGCGTGCGGCGAGAAATCCATAATATACAGGGTACGACCGCAGGAAACCTCGCAGGGGTGCAGGAAGCTGCAAGTGCACGGTGCACCAGAATGTGAAACTAGAGGTGGTGATAGAATTTCACAGTTTGAGAATATGACGTTACTTGGGTCAAAATATAGAAACGAAAAACGTAACTGCCTTACCGGCTGATGATAAGGGCCATCGGAGCACGACCAACTATTTGTTGTGATCGGGGCATTCGATTGGACGCGGGTTGGTAAAGATTTGAAAAACACGAAAGAATAAAACATGCAGGAACGAAGACAGACAGCGCAGTTCTTTGTTGACATGAAATGTAAGATCAAGCACATTATTCTGTCGGATCAAATGGTTTTGTTGAATTAGGTTTAGCTCGCAAGTCAGCCGTTCTTCGGCGGGCTTTCAGCTTTCTGCGATGGTTGTTTTATTTAATCGTGAACGCAGGCTCAAACAATGTACGCAGCGGCGCCAATTAGATCTGAAACGAAGAAAGAGCTCGGACGCGTGGAACGAACACACATAGAGATCACATCACAGGAAAACTCAAACCACTCACTTTTCGTTCGACGACGGTTCGTCAGGCACGATGTTTCCGATGTTTCTCCGGTTTCTCCGGGCGTTGAGGAGACCGCGTCTGTTTCCGTGCTCCTATTGGTCGTGACGTCACCAAATTTCATCCAATAAAGTGCGCGCCGAAGTTCTCTCTAGTCGCCGGTGACGTTAGTGGAGTCATAGAGTTATTATAATGTACGCTAGAGGTTCAAGTGGCGCTAGTGTGCTGACGCAAATTGAAGCAGACAGCAACCAGTCGAAAATTGACTTCCGGTAATGCATTTCTATGGGAAAAAGTGAGTGCATTTTCTCCCTGCGCTCGATCATAAGAACAAATATCCCGAATAATTCGTGCGTACTAGGTAGTTTGGAACATTTCTTAGTCAGGCCAACGAAAGAATTGGTCAGTTACGGCGTTTTTCTTTCGAATTCATCGCATTAAAAACGGTGCTAAAACGGCTTCGTACGTGTATTTATGTGCACTGTCGGACACTGTTAGCGCGAACGCGGAGTCGGCGATTTCCAGCATACATGCCAAACGAACGAAGGACATCTGGAAAATCAAGAGCGGCGGCAAGAACTGCGCAGTAACACCGGATCAGTAACTCGCAGTGCATGTACGATCAAAATAAATTGAAAGCCATGTAATCTATTCCGATTTTAAATAAGTAAGTACCGCTTTATTCTTTCTGCCCTGAGCGAAGCTGCTTGTTCTACGTTCAAAATATCACCCGCGCGCTCGATATCTTTGAGAACAAGTGCGCGATAAAAGCTGCCCGGCAGAGAAAACAATACGAAGAGACACCTTTCATAGCCCACGGACTTTATTATCTACGTTTTGAAGGTTTTTACTCCCCATGCACGACGGGATCATTTTCATATAGTGACAGGACTGGCATATTATCAAGATACAATCGTCACCGGAATGCTGGCGAGCCTTGAACCCACTCTATATTCGTTTCGATTGTAATTTTGCTTTGAGTCGTCGCTTGTTTTTACACACCTGCTGCGGAACACACGTTTGGGACTGAAATGTAGCGAAGTTTAACATCGTTCACTGATGAAGAAAAATGCGCTAACTAAAGCGATTACACTTTCACAGTGTTAATCAAGGTATATACTACTCGGTACGACCCAAATAACCAAAGTGTTCCGTGTTATTTTCCGGCGAAGAGAAAAAATGCATGCGCGTTTTCCCATAGGAATGCACAGGAGCACCGCAAAAGTAGACTGGTTGCTGTCTGCTTCAATTTGCGTCACGGAAGTCGCATAGACACTAGCGCCAGTTGAACCTCTAGCGTACATTATAATAACTCTATGAGTGGAGTGACAGACGGCTGGTAGGACAATTAGGGTTAAACAGTGAAGTTGGCCGAAAAAAGTTTTGGCCTTATCAGCGCTGATAGGAGGCAAAGATTTTCCTGATAATGAGGCCCTTTTTTTTGCTCAGAAGCGATCTATTTGGGGGCGTACTTTACGAAACCAGAACACGTCAAACCGCCCCTATTAGACTGCAAAATGATTGTTATAATAAAGTAATCAATTAATGCACCTTTATTAAATGTCTATCGTTTTTATATGACTACATTTAAAGCCCGCGAGTAGTGCCTTCAAGCAACACCAGGGGACCGCTGTAAGCACGACGTTAGTGGAGTGACAGACGGCTGGTAGGACTATTATGGTTAAACAGTGAAGTTGGCCGAAAAAAGTTTTGGCCTTATCAGCGCTGATAGGAGGCAAAGATTTTCCTGATAATGAGGCCCTTTTTTCGCTCAGAAGCGGTCTATTTGGGGGCGTACTTCACGAAACCAGAACACGTCAAACCGCCCCTATTAGACCGCTAGATGATTGTTCTAATAAAGTAATCAATCAATGCACCTTTATTAGATGGCTATTGTTATTATATGAGTACATTTAACGCCCGCGAGTAGTGCCTTCAAACAACACCACGAGACCGCTGCATGCACCATGTCAGAGGAGTGTCAGACGCCTGGTAGGACAAAATGAGACGATCCTAGTATTACTACTGAGCGTGAAATCGACGCTCGCGTGACAGAGACTGTTTGCGTTCGACGGCCGCGGCTCGCTGCATCTTTTATTTCGCGGAGATCTGCCATGGAAAAGTTGCCAAGTTAATTGCAAGGCATTACAGCACTTGAAGAAGCCGGTGGAAGCAGAAAAACGTAAGAAAAGACGTGTTTAATTGTGGAACACACGAAACATAGCGGTGATGTTGCCCCTAAAAGCATGCAAACAAAACCCGAACCGGAAGTGTTCTCCGCTCCCTGTCATTGCGACCGGAAGTGGCCTGAATTGGAATTTTTGCTAGAGATGATGCCACAAGAATGTCCTGCGAGAACCCCAGAGGCCCCAGAGGGACTTTTTTGGGACATCCCTGGGACATTGGGTGTAGTCTGGGTTGCGCCTAGACTTCATCAAACTTAGCCAACAGTCGGCAAAGGCGCATTCTTATCAAAATTACAAAATTCTAAGGTAAAAATGTATTAGTTACAAACCAACATTGAAACTAATTTTGTTTATCTTTTGTTTACCACGCTTCTATACGAAGCTTTCCCAGTTTTGTCTTGAATAAAAAAATGTTTGCCACGATTCAAACAAGGCTCTGATTCAAACAAGCTCCTGAGAAACTAGGAAGCCATACCACCATCGCAACTACGACCACCACCACCAATTTAAAATGGCGGCTCCCAGTGTGGAAAAGCCTAGCACGCTGCTTGTAAAGAATTTACCCCCGGACACTAAAGAATCCAAACTCGAAGAGATTTTCGGCGACATCGGACCACTGAAGAGATGCTTCATCGTTCGAGACAAGTCGGACAAGGCCGAATGCAAGGGCGTAGCGTACGTGACATACGCCAGCGCCGTCGACGCCGACGCCGCGTTGACACAAAAATTCAAGCTGGGCGGAAACCTGCTCCACGTGAAACTAGCCGCTTCCAAACCCCTGCGTGGCTCGGCTGCGGCCCAGAAAGCGGAACCCAGGCCGAGAGCAACCAAGGAAGAGAGACTCGCCAGGAAAAAACGTAAGCCACGTCTCATTGTTCGCAACTTGTCGTTCAAAGCCAACGAAACAGTGCTGCGCGACTGTTTCGGCAAGTACGGCGACCTTGTTGAGGTAAGCATTCCCAAGAAACCCGACGGAAAGATGCGCGGCTTCGCATTCGTCCAATTTGCAGAGACCAAGAGTGCGATCAAAGCCATCAACGGTCTGAATGCAAGTAACATAAGTGGCCGTCCCGTGGCCGTCGACTTCTGCCTTCCCAAAGCCACGTACCAGAATGCCACGCAGGGCCAAGCTTCGGCGAGTAAAGCTGAACAAAGCAACAACGACGAAGACACTGACGGTTCTGCTGACGAGACTAGCGTTGTTTCCGAGACGTCTGCACACGAAGACTCGGCTTCGGATTTGGACGACCAAGGTGACAACACCGACCAAGACATGGACGATGAGCAAAGCGAGGAAGAGGATGGTAGTGATGAAGAGGATGAAGATGACGATGAGCTCCACCTTAAACGGAAGTCCCAGCCGGGTGACACGAAGAACACCCTCTTCATCCGCAACATTTCGTTTGAGACGACGCAGGAAAGCCTCGACTCCCTCATGAAGCAGTTTGGGCCCTGCAAGTACTGCCTCCTCTGTACGGATCCGGTCACCGAGCACTCGAAAGGAAGTGCCTTCGTGCGCTATGTCAAGGACGCCAGCGTCGAACGCTGCCTCCAAGCGGCGCAGTCCAGCGCAGGCCTGATGCTGGACGGTCGCCGCTTGAGCGTCGCCAGGGCCCTCTCCCGCGAAGAGCTGGACGCCAAACAAGAATCGGAAAAGAAGCAGAAGAAAGACCGCCGCAACCTCTTCCTGGCGCGCGAAGGACTCGTGCGGCCCGGCACGGAAGCTGCGCACGGGGTCTCCCCGCAGGACATGACCAAGAGGGCAAAGCTTCAGTCCCGCAAGCGCAAGCTTCTCCAAAACCTGCACTACTTTGTGTCGCAGACCCGCCTGTGCGTCCACAACCTGCCGCCCTCAGTTGACGATCGGAAGCTGCGCGCCCTGTTCCTCCAGAACGCTCCCAAGGGTGCACGAATCACTGAGGCCCGCGTGATGCGCAACCTGAAGACGCCCAGTGCAGAGTCACGCGGCTACGGCTTCGTTACGTTTGGCCGACACGAAGACGCGCTCGAGGCTCTGCGGAGGCTCAACAACAACCCAGAAACCTTCGGCCCCAAGAAGAGGCCTATCGTCGAGTTCTGTCTCGAGAACAAGGCTGCTCTGGTCGCCAAGGAACGACGTCTGCAACGCAGCAAGCAAAAGATCAAGGAGGCGGAGGAGATGGATCAGTCAGGTTCCATGTCGGCTACGGATGCGGCTGTTCCGAACGAGAAGCGGGCACCATTCATGGGAGCTGCGGCCAATCGTAACATGAAGGGCCTTCCGACGCATTCGGGGGCCAAGGTGCGCACTAAGAAAGGGCGAGCGGGAAGGCAAATGCAGAAACAGTTACAGGCGAAAGAGAAGAAGGGAAAACGGAAACAAAAGCAAAAGAAGGGGTTAGGTCCTGTTGGGGGTGTTCGTGGGGAAAAGGACACCTTCGGTGCGATGGTTGAAAAGCACAGGCAGAAACAGATGAAACGGGCTGCTGTTGAGGGTCGTAACAAATGGTTCAACGAATAAAGTCCCTTACCATTCTACTGGCATGCCTCCTCTGCGATGCGCAGGACTTCCACATGAAGCTGCCAATGAAAGCACAAAGGATGGTGCAGTCACCAATGTTTTGGGGGCAGTAGGGCACATCTCAGAATTTCACTGTCGAGGAACTCGTCTCTTTAGAATTGTCCTTGAAACGCGGTAACAACACTTTACTTACCTTTCTCTGGAAAGCCATGCAAAGCGAATGGGAGAGTGGCAGAAGTACCTAACCTAACCAACCGCTACATTGAAACAAAACACCTTGCTTTATTACGCCACTTTAATGCCGTCAAATTTTTTCCCTCATATACAAAATGCTGCATGTACAAAGAACTGGTAAAATCACCAGGCCCTAAAATCCCCTTACATACTCGACCCCCTTATTTACATATCTGAGCTCAAGCTGATCGCAGTGTCGTTCTAGTCGGCAACGGGTTAAGGGAGGACATGGGCCTAAATTTCAAATATTTTTGAAAAAATTCATTTTTCAATTTTGAGGTTTTCGGTTTGAGAAACTAATTATACACCCTTACACCAAATTTGATAACCATACGCCCAATAGTTACGTTGATATAAACTATTTTCAACACATTCTGAGGCAGTAACAAAGTAGAGGAGTTCAATGTTTGAATGCATTTTTCTCAGTTCCACTTTTTGCTGCAAATTTCATAGGAAGAAATCTTTTGTTTGAAGGTAAAATTATTTTAAAACCAAAATCAAGATGTTTCTGAACTGAAATTTACTGGGGAATCGGGCTATCTACTTTATTTTGTTTTAAGTTGAAGTCCTCAGTGATAAAAAACTAAGTTTTCAAGAATTGACACAGGACAGAAAATGCTTTTTATTTTTTGAGGTAATAACTCTTCCCGAAATATTTACATTTAAGCTATTTAAACTAGATAGCCCGAAGTCCTATATCCCCCACTTTATATTCAAGCAGTCAAAATAGTGCTTAATAGCTTCATTTGCATATCATAGATTTCTTAACAAAGAGTGACACATCTTCTTATGCAGGTATGTAAATTTGACCTAAAGAGCTGAAAGTTTGCACAGTACACCAACGTCTGAAGTTAAATCTCCCCTGCAAATTTCATTCTAATCACTTCAGTAGTTCAGAAGTTCAACCTCTAGCCAGTGTCCCCCCTTAAAAATCTAGTGGAGGCTCCAGCATGCAGAAAGCTCGTGCTCAAGGTGCAGCGTCTGTTAGGTTCTTAACCTATCGCCGACTATGGGTGCCCAAACTCGTTGCGTGGCGCAACTAAGGACGGAGCCACATTCTCAGTCGGTGTCGGAGTCCGTGGCTGTGAATCCGTTGCGTAGAAGCTTGCTCTCGACGCCAGTCTTGTTGATGGCCATGAGGGGATGCATTGCCGAGCCCAGGCTGGGGTACAGCTTGGGAAAGAGGATCTCCTGTGCTGCCAGCAGCTGCTTCACTCGGTGCCGCTCCTTCGGGAAAACAATTTGGGAAGTAGAGCACTTATGGTGCCAGTGCTATTATCTGAAGCACTTTGCCATATCTAAAGTCGAAATTAAAATTTTCCCTGGTATAGTGCCTCGTTAATATGTACCGCATTAACAAGCAGAGAATTATATACTAGGCAAAATTTTCAGGAATGAACAGGAAATACATGCATCTTTGTCTTGCTATTATAAAGAACTCGCAGTATGGATGATTTTTGGGAGGAACAGAGACGGCCATATTGATCCGACATTACTGTATTGCATTGGTCTCTGTTGGCTTGCCTTTGGCTCGTTAATTGATATGTGGTGGTGTCAGCAACATGGGATAGTCTACTTCACTTTCAGAACAAGTGAAGGGGCGAAAATAAGCTTGCTAACTACCTCAAATTTTGTGCATAGCTCACACGCTTTGAAAAGCGACTCTTACCAAATCTGATTGAAAAGAAGAAAAAAAGGCAAGATGGTTAAGAAACCATCTAAACTCCTTTGTGTCAGAAAAGTGTATATTTTGATAAAGTAACAAGTGCTAGCTGATCTTATATGCACATAGCAGCATCTTAATTCACTACACAAAGTGGGAAATTAGTAATGTTCTGCAAGGAGCCTAACTATTTTTCACTACGGCTCAAGTTATGGTTACTGTCCCCAGCAAGCTGCAATGAATTATTCGAGTTCCGCAGTCCCCGCAACAACAATGACACACCTTAGGAGCCTCGAAACATGCGGGGCAGTTCTCGGCAATTACTGGCAGCCTCATCTGCAAAAGAAGAACAAAACGCACAACTTAAAGAAATGCTGAACCAAACATTTCAGTGTCTATAATAAGTGGCACATTACAGACACTGAAATGTTTGGTACAGCATCCCTTTAAAGGGGTAGGGAAACGAAATTCCAGCGCTCATTTTCTAGCTTGAATGCAGGGCCGTAACCAGGGGGGGGTTAGGGGGTTCTGACCCCCCCCCCCCCCCCCGAAATTTTTTTCTGGGTACGGCCCTGGGTGCAATTATCATTTACGGTTATTATCCGTCATGCTTGAATCATTTCCGAACGAAATCTGAATATTTCAATTTTTGTTTCCATACCCCTTTAAAGAACCCCTAAAAAGAAAAAAAAAAAATTTTTTTAAACAGTCTAGTTGGGACACGCGTGTCAAAAAATTAATTGTATGCAAAAAAAAAACATTTTTTAGAGCAATATTGACAGCGAGATTAATTTGAAATTCTGCATGCAAAGTCCATGACGTCACGGCACGGGTCATCCCGGAATGACCATCTCGGTCGTGAAGGTGAAGCCAATCCACCTCTCCTCCACGCGCCCCAAATGCCGAGAGAAAACAAGTGGAAAGGAGGTGACTGTCGACTAAATCAAGTCTCGCGCCATCAATATCAAAACATTTTTTTGAACAGTCTGGTTGGGACACGCGTGTAAAATATTTTCAGCGAAAAAAAAGAAAAATTTTAAAACAATACTGACGGCGCGAGATTTATTTTAAATTTTGCGTGCCAAGTTTACGACGTCACGAAATGGTCATACGCACTTTCCACCTGAATGAGATGGTCATACGCTTTCTCCATCTCAACATGATGGCCAAGCCGATCCACATCTCCTACAAGCACCCGAAATGCAGAGGAGAAAACAAGTGAAAAGGAGGTGCGCAATATTGATTGTGTCTCGCGCTATCAATATTACTCTACAATTTTTTGGTTTTTTTTCTCGCGTGAAATTAATTTTTTAACACACATGTCCCAACCAGACTTAAAAAATTTGTTTTTTTTCTTTTCAGGTTTTTTTTTAAGTGCTGCATTCTTACAATTAAAACTGAAACACATTGTCTGATGTTCTTAAGCATAACTTAGCAGGCTCTTAAATGTTTTAGCAGGAACAGAGTTGGGACTTCAAGATAAGGCCAGACCGACCTCCTCAGCAAACTTGCGCAGGTTCTTCTCCCTGACGTACACAAAAGGCCGAGTAACGCGGAGGTCTCCTTCCCTAAAAAAGAAAGGGAAACATTTTTTTTTAAATTTTTTTTAGTTATGAGCAATGTCAGAACAGTAGCACATGTGAATTTGCTGTAAACATGGCATCTTGGTCTGTTGCAGGCTAAGAAAAGGCATGACAAGGCCCTCCCAGAAAGCTTCCTGCTCGCCGTGATAGGTCATTTCCTCCTCTTCGGCCTTTGCTCTGCTAAAGTGGAAAAGGTGAAGGGCTTTGTGGGAGGAGCAAGTCCTGCTATTCTTAACCTCCAACAGACCACAAAAAGAATAATAATAAGTCGGTAAAATTCAAACTGCAAGTTTGCATTGCATACATCGTAGCCGTTTCTTTAAGACTGCTGGGATAACATCGAACCATCCCCAAATAAAAACCACTTTCAGGTGTTTGTTGCAATGTCTGAGTGCAGCATGAGGCATTGCTTACGAAAACGACCCATAAATTAGAGCGTAAAGCTGTCGATAAATAATTCATATTTGCGATCGCACTCACCTCACAGTGTAGTTAGCCTTCATGGTCCTGAGACGGCCATTGTGGAACACTGACATCAAGAAGCTAGAATTGAAGAAAAACAGGAAGCTCATTTTGCCACCAACAGATGTTACAGGCAATAGGTACTATTTATATAAAAAAAAAAATTATGGTATTTTTAAAATTTAGCACCAGCTTTTATTCACTTCATCAGGTGGAAGAAATAGGAACCGAACTAAAGTGCAGCTGTGGCAGGAGGCAGAAAGACGACTCAATCTCAGACAGAACAGTTGTATTGTTACCACACACACTCGTCGTCTTCCTTGCCATGTGGCTATCTCCACAAAAAGATGAACAATTGTCAATCTGGCTTAACGTGACAATAGGCTGATTAAATCAACCAAGAGGGTCCAGATTAAAAAAAAAAACCAAAAAAACAGTAAAAGCAACATTAACGTGGCCTGTGCAGCCGAGTTATACGGTCTGGGAGGCGTAACATAGGTGGCTAATCATCACAAAAAGTCAGATAATTAACTAAAATTTGTTGATAAACTTTTTAATTTAGTGAAAATATATGAATATGGTTCCAATCAGAAACTTGCTCACTGTCATCAAAAGCTACTGAATCAGTAAATTATAGACAGAAGGCAATGCTGGCCTTCCATCTGCTCCATGGGTTAACATTAATGCACACATGTAATTTTCACCTACTTCTTATCTTTCAAAGATTTACTGATTTTTGATGACACTGAGCAAGTTTCCAACTGGAACCATACATTATTTTTCACTCATTAAAGCATTCATTAACAAACTTTAGTGAATTATCCGACTTACCATGACAACTATCCCCCTATAGTATGTCCTGCCGAAAACTATGGGTTTTTAAACATTTTCGTTCAAGTGGCAGCGTTTTTTTTTTTTTGTTTTTTTTTCACTGAAAAAGTTTTATGTAGACGTTTGTCACTTATTCTTTTTTTTCTTTTTTTTTTTTTTTTTTTACGGTTGTTGTTTTGGGTTGATTGTCAGCATAGGTCTTTTAAGGTCTCTTAGTAATTGAGACGTGTTTTTCTCTCAGTGC